CATTAAGACATATTTGCTCCCTCTCGATGCTCAAGGTTGATAAGCAACTGTCTCCTAAGATATAACGAATTTTATTCTTGAAGATGTAGCGCTGCAATCTCCAAGACTCCAACAAACAAAATTATGTATTTATACTTGAACCGAACTTAAAATAATAATTCAGCAATATGCAAAAAGAGAAAGAGAGAAGAATGACTGAATACTTAATTCAGTATTTTAGATAATTGAGAGAACTAGAATAAGAGAGCAATTCTTAAATTGTTCAATAGTATATTTTCGGAGTGCAAGGAATCACCTATTTATAAACTCTCTAGTGACTTTTCATAAAGGGTGTAACCATATGTAATTGTACCTTTTAATCCAAATGGTATTAATGGTGACTTTATGAAAAGGTACAACTATTTGAAATAGTGTCTTTTAGTCTAAGAAATATCAATGATGACTTTATCAAAAAGTTGTGACTATTTGTAATAATATTTTTTAACCTAAAAGTGTTAATAGTGACATAATGAAAATATGTAACTATTTTAATTGGTGTCTTTAATCAAAAGTCACAAATTTTGAAGTAATAGTATTTCATGTCATTTTCATTTCACACCTTTTAAATTGCTCCCAAAATTCATAGAGACTTTAACAATACTTTCTATTGCTCCCAAAAGTTACAAAAACTTTAATTATTTCTCATTCACTACTTAATTGTTTTTAAATAAATATATCATTATTTCCAATAAATATCAATTTCTAGACAGATAAATGGATCATATGGATAGTAGTCTTAGTAGGGCTCGAACCTACAATATAACCGTTACAAGCAGTTTATTTCAACCAATTAAACTATAAGCCCCTACGGATCTCTACATGTAATTCGCTCACTTGGGAATAGTGGACAGAAAGAGGAGGCCTTTGCTCTATCTTCCCCTTCCTCTTCCTCTTTCTCTTCCTCTTTGTCAAATTTCTTTTTGTTATAAGGTAAATCAGATGATTACATGACTAACAAAATTGGTGATATTATAAGTGTTGAGACTAGGGAATGGAAAGAGGAGATTACCCCTTTAGCCTCAAGCTTAAGAGAAGGCAGTCATTTTTTCCATTCCACTTACTAAGCTACAATAGGAAGATATCAAAACATTATACCATAATAGAATATTATCAGTCAAGTTTGGATACCATTTTTCCAGAACACAGTGGCAAGAAGAGCAAAAGGAAACAAAAAGCTTCCGATTAGTTTTACAAAATCCATGTTCTTTTATATCTGAAAATTGAGTGCACTTTCTAAGATTAAACTTTTTTGGTAAGGGCATGTACATATACTTACAATGCCCANACTATGATGAGGTAATTGCACCTGTTGCTCATTTGAAAATAATTAGATTGATTATTTCTTTAGCCGCTCTAAATGATTGAAAAATTCGCCAAATGGATGTGAAGTCCGCTTTTTTAAATGGCTTTCTTGATGAAGATTTGTATGTTGAACAATCATTGGGTTATGTTGTGAAAGGGCAATGAGAGAAAGTCTTGAAATTAAATAAGGCTTTATATGGCTTGAAGCAAGCACAAAGGACTTGGAATAATAGACTTGATAAATACTTCCAAGCAAATAATTTCACCAAGTGTCCCCACGAACATGCTCTTTATGCAAAGGTGAATGATAATGTTGATATACTTTATGATTGTTTGTATGTGGATGACTTGATATTCACAGGAAATTGTCCACGAATGCTANTGACTTTTCATAAAGGGTGTAACCATATGTAATTGTACCTTTTAATCCAAATGGTATTAATGGTGACTTTATGAAAAGGTACAACTATTTGAAATANAAAGGTGAATGATAATGTTGATATACTTTATGATTGTTTGTATGTGGATGACTTGATCTTCACAGGAAATTGTCCAAGAATGTTTACAGATTTCAAGAGAGCAATGGCTACAAAATTTGAGATGACCGACATGGGGCTTATGTCATACTACCTCCCAAGAGGGTTATGCTAAAATAATTTTGGCAAAATTCAAAATGCAAGATTGTAAGCCGGTTTGCACACCCGTTGAATGTGGCATAAAATTGTCAAAATATGAAGATGGAGAGCATGTGGATTCCACCCATTTCAAGAGCTTAGTTGGAAGCTTGAGGTACTTAACATGTACAAGACTAGATATTTTGTTTGGTGTTGGTCTTGTATGTCGCTATACAAAAGCTCCTACAATGACCCATTTAAAGGCGGCGAAAAGAATTCTTAGATACATCAAATGTACACTTGATTATGGGTTGTTATATCCTTAGTCTAACAATTCGAAGCTTGCAAGCTATTGTGATAGTGATTGGGCCGGAGATATGGATGATAGAAAAAGTACTACCAGATATATTTTCTTCATGGGAGATACCGCATTTACTTGGAGTTCAAAGAACCAACTCATTGTGACTCTTTCGACTTGTGAAGCCAAGTATGTGACAGCTACATCATGTGTTTGTCAAGCCATTTGGCTTAGAAATTTGTTAGATGAACTTCATTTGCCTCAAGAAAAATCAACGAAAAACTTTATTGATAACAAATCAGCACTAGCGTTGGCGAAGAATCCGGTATTTCAGGATCGTGGGAAGCATATTGACACAAGGTTCCATTTCATTAGAGAGTATGTGACCAAGAAAGAAGTGTAGCTCAAGTTTGTGAAGACTCAAGACCAAATTGCCGATATTTTCATTAAACCCCTTAAAGAGGATGTCTTTTGAAAATCGAGAAGTTTGCTTGGAGTTGAAAAAAAAATCATGTTTAAGGAGGGTGTTGAAAAATAGTAATAAACATGACTTTCCATGTTCTAGGAGTTATTTTTATGCAATTAGTTTTTGTATTAGTGGGTCATCAATTTGGTATTAGTGGGGGACAAAGTAATTATGGTATTTTAATTCTCCATGTTCTAGTAATCATGTGTTATTTATAAGAGTCTATATATATCCATGTAATTCATCCATTTGGATATGAGTGAATTGAAAGACTTGTTCCTATCTTCAATAGTCTCTTCCATTATATTTTTTTGTGATTGTGTGATAGTCCTCTAGATTCCAACAATTATCCGTTATTCTACTTGTAACTATTCGATTTTGATGAGAATTTTTTATAATGCCATGGTAGTTCAATGCATATAATGTCTTGTAAGAGGTGGGAGTTGGATGATTGCCATTCTATTAGGAAAAATATTTGTTCTTTCCTTTATTATTCAAATTTAACTTCATGCTGCTTAACCAAAAAACGAATTTAATTCTATTACTTCATGTGGGTTGTTTGTTCCCCCTTGGACAAAATACTTTTGGTTGGTAGTTGACTTGTGAGGCTTTGCATGCTATTGGAATCAAATTGCCCCCCTCACCACTTTGCACATGAGTTTTTGGTTAAATCCAAAAAATCNCAAAATTGGTGATATTATAAGTGTTGAGACTAGGGAATGGAAAGAGGAGATTACCCCTTTAGCCTCAAGCTTAAGAGAAGGCAGTCATTTTTTCCATTCCACTTACTAAGCTACAATAGGAAGATATCAAAACATTATACCATAATAGAATATTATCAGTCAAGTTTGGATACCATTTTTCCAGAACACAGTGGCAAGAAGAGCAAAAGGAAACAAAAAGCTTCCGATTAGTTTTACAAAATCCATGGCCTTTTATATCTGAAAATTGAGTGCACTTTCTAAGATTAAACTTTTTTGGTAAGGGCATGTACATATACTTACAATGCCCCCTGCAACTCTCACATCAAATATGTTGAAAAGAAAATGAAAGTATAGAATGCATGCTCTGCAAAAGTTAAAATTGACTCATCTGAGTTGGTTTACCGCCAATATGGGCTATGAAGTTGATTAATAATCAAAACATCTCACAGATTTAGTACATAGTAGTTTCACACTTCTAATGATCCACGTGCAACGCACATCTACATCAACTATATATATACTTTTTTAACATATTAAGTTTTTTAGAGTAGATAATAATTTAGTATCTCTGCCACCCTAAATAACTAAAAAACGTGCACATTCTTAGCCCAAATCTAGACCACATGTGAGAGGCATGTTACAAAAAAGAAAACTTTCACCAAAATGACTACAACAAATTATCTCTTTACTATGACACCAAAAATTGTAATGAAGTTCATATGACGTAGAATAAATCAGGGCAATACCATTTGTTGCCACAAAAACAAGACAGGAAAAAAAAAAGAAATCACAAACAAATCGCTGTGAAACTTTATCTAAAAAATTGTTGATGTCAACCGATAAATTCCACCAACCATATTTAAGAACTATTCATAACCCGTGCCTGAAGCCACGATAAAATATAAAATTCAAGCGTCCAAAAAATCAATCCGACTATATTAAATTTTTTTAAAATATATTAACTACAAATTAATTAAATATCAATTGATTAAATATATAATAGAAATGAGTTGTGTGATATTTTTATGAAAAATATATATAAATAATTAAATATGTGATAAAAATAAATTATATGATTTGACGTTTGAGTCTGACAAAGGGATGATAGGTGAGGTAAGTAATTGATGATAATTTTGAAAGAAAATATAATTGAAATAAAATTCAAACACACTCCTGTTTTATTATAATATAGATTGAACATTTATTACACAAGCTACACACCAGATCAATCCTCAGGTGGGGAAGTTCATACTCATAAAACGCAAGGAAGCCACCATTCAACTTAATGATGTAACACAATTTGTAGCACTACTCGTACCATAATAATATGACAATACAACATTAAAACATTCAGCAGCTGTAAAGCTGGTAATCTATGCTAAAAATTCTATAGCAAAAGAAAACTAGCGGTAGATCCAGTCGCAGGGCTTAGGTGTTCCGCGTTAAAACTTTGCAGGGTGCTTGTGGATTTGAGAGAGAGCACTGCAGTGAAACCTTTCCCAACCACCAGCAACCCAACCACAATAACATAAATTCACTAGCTTTCACCAGTGATATCTACATATTCAGGTTCTGCATCAGACTTGAGTTTTTAATGAATCATCAGACTCATCAGAATCACATCCATCAGGCTCCTTGGGATTTGGTCGGGCCTCTTGACCACCAGGCTTTGCTGCAGGTGTAGGTGCAGCTTTTTTACTAGCATTACGAGCATTCTCCTCACCATCTTCCTCCTGCTCTGCAACTTCAATAGGTGAACTACTTGGTCAAGAATAACAACGAGCGGTATAAATAATGCAGAGCTCTACCAAACCTATTTTGTTTACTATTTCATATCAAGGGCATCAAACAACCACAATGAAGTTCAACCATCCATCCAAAATACTTGATAATGTAAATGTGTGACTTCAGGGGGGAAAAACTTATATTTTGAGCAAATAACTGTGCTCATCAACATTGAATTGATAGGATACATATCTAGCAATCTGGCTAATTTAAAGATACGTGCATGCCAGTCATATGATCATTTCTCTCAATACTACCCAGTATACTGATTGGAACCTGGAATCCCTGTTCAGAGTTTTCACAACTCATCCATATTAGTGGCTGTTTGTATTCTTCTTGACAAAATTATGAAAATATAACAGCGAAGGATATCAAAATTCTCANTATTAGTGGCTGTTTGTATTCTTCTTGACAAAATTATGAAAATATAACAGCAAAGGATATCAAAATTCTCAGCTGTTCCACCAGCCATGATATTTAGCAGATCTTTCTCAACTCGCCGCACAAGTTCAGGCTGCATAGAGTACCAAAAATAACTGTCAGTAAATATTGTACAGATAAAAAAATTTGATAAAAACACAAAAGGCAGCTGTAGTGCAGCCACATCCTGTTCTTGTGTCTTCAAACTAGAAATATTGCATATTCTTTACTTCTCCATCGACAATTGCATTTTTTTGATATCAAAAAGCATCACAAGGAATAGTAAAGATCAACATTTGGAAAAAAGAGGCAATTGATACATTTAGATCTGGTTCTCTACGAAATCTTCGCCTTTGAGCATCCCTCATCGGAGGTGTAAGGCCATGGCTGTACTCCACCACATCTGGAACGGAATCACCCTCTTCTGTCACCATGATCATCTGTTAAAACAACAGGAATTCAAATGACTGCTTAAAAAAAGAAGTGAATGTATCCAAGTAAGAAATAGATAATGTTAAAGAGAAGTCTACTTGGCCAATGTCTGCAGTTTTAATGAGCACACTATCATCATAAGTTTTGTAGGACTCCAAAATGCAAGGAAGATCCAAGAGCGATGCAGGGCAACGGTCATTGCCTATGACAAATGTGCCACTCCTCCCATCCTCTAGAAAAAGAGGCAATTCAATGTTCTCAGTTACCCCCAACAAAAAGCCAAAGAATATGAAATTCCAATATTACTAGAAATAATAAGTGCTTCCTTTTTCCAAATATGCCAAATACAAAACAAGCAAGACAACAAACCTTTACAAACTCGAGTGACCAACAGTATTACATTTCAAAGTCAAAGCAAAACACCAATCATCTACCATCATTTCACTAATTCCAAAGCAACATTGTCCTCAAAGGTTTGTGGCCCAGAATGCAAGTTTGTAAAACATTCTGTTTTGCATAAATATGGACTCCAGACTGGCAATCACAACATGACAACCAATTTAAGTCCTCACATTTCCCTTCGGACCTAGTTTTCTCTTCCTTATTGAACAGGACCTGGGATGCAGAAAATTATGGAGCTTATCAATTTCTCATTTATATCCTCCTGGATAATGAACTGTATTGACAACGATTGTCACAAAGCAAGTTCAATCCCCAATGGGCAACTTGACCAGCATTCAAAATCATATCCTTCAAAAGTGTATTTATAGTTCATCCTAACAAGTCATTCATATATTTTCAAAATCCTTCAGTGTGACCCTTGCCCATTCCAAGCCAACTGGACAAGGGAGGCCTTTCAACCAAGTGCTTGGTTGAAGAAACTTCAGGGAGTTCCAAACCTGCTGAAAATGAGCCGGCCAAAGCAAGAGGATCGCGTTAAGAATGAGGAAGAATAATTTGGGTGGGGGGCTAATGTTTACTTGGATCGTGGGTTATTTTCAAATGTGGTACATGATACAACACTTTCTTAGATACGCGATATGATAGGGGTGGGTTTAGTTGGAACGGTGTTTTAGGTAGCAATTTATTTTGAAACTCTTATCTAGATTATTTTCACTACTATACAATATTATATATCATAGCACTTCTATAAACACTAAGTCATGTACCATTTATCTTACATTTGTGCTTCATTTTCTATTATCTAAAATATTATAATTACACTTAGTCAATTAATATGTATTTTATATTTGTGCTATATGATTCAAAACGAATCGATTTAAGGTTAGTGTTACAAGTTGGGGTCGTACATTTTAGTGATCTGGATCGTGAACTTGCCCCGTTTGAGATCAATGTACTCAGTTTTTGGGTTGTCAAGGGCTTAGTGAATCCTGTTAACTACGTCCCACCCCCAAAATTTCCTTTCACCACATTGAACACCCTAATATAGAACTCTTAAGTCCACCCCTTCAATACTCACCCTATCAATTACTAACTCCACCCCATCAACATGTTATGCATGTTTCTCTCATATCATCCAATACACATCATGTTCACACCCTCATATTCTCCTATCTCCCTATATTTATGTAGCTTCTACATATGAAATTTCAGTGGAGTCATGTTGTTTTTTCCATCTTATATTCCTTCATAAGAAATTCATTCTTGCAAATTGAGATGTATCTACTTAAATGCAGAGTGACTTGGCTAATGTTCAAACAAAAAAGGAAGAAGAAAAGGTGAGTGTCCATATGCTAAATACAGTTTGCGTTGTTTTGTAATATGATGAACATGACTTATTTAATTCTGTTTTGTCATGGTAGGCAGGTACTGAAGGAGCTTAAAGCCAAGGCTCAGCAGAAGCTTCTGGGCTCAAGAAAAGTGGGAAGAAATGAGGGGTCATTGGCCCAAATTAAAAGAACCCAAATTTCTTTTGATACGATTTCAACATGTTGTAATCTTGTTTCTTGTTAGAAGTGATAGCAAAGGTGCATGCTAAACTATCTAGATGTGCTTGGTTCAGATACCTTTAAGGAATGATGTGGCCCTTATTTGTGAAATTTCCTTAGCATGTTCTTTGATTTTGTATGGCATTACTCGATATGCAGACTATACACAAAAGGGTAGGAATATCCGGAGGAAAAATATGAGATGCAAAGACTTTGTATTTGAGATGTAGGAGGATGAAATTAATATAATGAACATGTTAATGTGTTAGATACAAGAAGATGGTGGTCTTCATTGGGTGAGTCTTTGCTTTGATAGACTTCTTTGGAATGTTGTGGGAAAGAATTGGTTTGTCAACACGTGATGGAGTTATATCAAGACTTGGACCTTTGCGATCAATTGTCAAGCTTTACACAAAGATTTGCCTCCAAGTATCAAGAAGCCTAAAGTGAACAGGATTGTAGATGACCAAAACTACTTCACATCAATGAGGTTTTCCAGAAGCTTGATAAATTAGAGATGGTGTTCAGTGACTTTAGGGACTTTGAAGTCAACAATTGGTCTTGCTCTAATCTTTTGAGATGGAAAACACTAATTATATTGTAATAGTGTTAGTCTGATGACAAGTTCTCTTGTCATTGTTTTCGGGAACTTTATAATCTCCCTCTTTTGATAGCGAAATCTTGTGTTGTGCTTCACCGGTGGATGTTGGCTTGTGTGTTGAGCTGAACCACATAAATCAGTGTTTGGATTTTTTTCTATTTTGTTCTATTATTATTTTTTTGTGGTCTTGGTTCATAACAAATTGGTATTAAAACTTTTGTTTTCGAGATGACAAAATTCTAAATTTTTGATGGAGAAAACAATTTCAGTTAATGGCAAATCAAAATGAAAGTATTGTTTCATCAATAGTATTTGGTAAAAGTCATTGATGGAGCTCTATCTAAAGAGACAAAGAAGCCCAAAGTTGTTTTTATTGAAGAAAAGGCAAATAGTGCAATTCAATTGTCTCTTGCAGATGAATTTCTTCATGAGATCACCGATGAAGACAAAACTGAACTGCTCAAGAAAAAAATTAGAGAGTTTGTATATGAAAAAGCCTCTCTTCAACAGCTTGTATCTGAAACAATGGCTGCATACACTCAAGTTGAAGGAAGGTGTGGATAATGATCAAACCCTTATTGTGTTAAGCTTACTGTCCAATTCGTTTGACAATTTTGTTAATGCAATGTGGTATGAGAGAGACACTATCTCCTTAGTTAAGGTGAAATCCTCTTTGAATTCTAAGGAGTTACAAGCTAAATTGAATGGTAAAGGTATTGATACTAAGGCTGAGGGCCTGTTTGTGAAGGGTCGTCATGATAATTCCCCTAATAATAATAGAGGACGATCCATTAAAAGAAATTTAGATAAATATAAAAAAAAATTTGGAAATCGATCACAGTCTAGGAAGAAATACAAGAATGNGAAAAAGCCTCTCTTCAACAGCTTGTATCTGAAACAATGGCTGCATACACTCAAGTTGAAGGAAGATGTGGATAATGATCAAGCCCTTATTGTGTTAAGCTTACTGTCCAATTCGTTTGACAATTTTGTTAATGCAATGTGGTATGAGAGAGACACTATCTCCTTAGTTAAGGTGAAATCCTCTTTGAATTCTAAGGAGTTACAAGCTAAATTGAATGGTAAAGGTATTGATACTAAGGCTGAGGGCCTGTTTGTGAAGGGTCGTCATGATAATTCTCCTAATAATAATAGAGGACGATCCATTAAAAGAAATTTAGATAAATATAAAAAAAAATTTGGAAATCGATCATAGTCTAGGAAGAAATACAAGAATANAATTGTCTCTTGCAGATGAATTTCTTCATGAGATCACCGATGAAGACAAAACTGAACTGCTCAAGANAGGCAAATAGTGCAATTCAATTGTCTCTTGCAGATGAATTTCTTCATGAGATCACCGATGAAGACAAAACTGAACCACTCAAGAAAAAAATTAGAGAGTTTGTATATGAAAAAGCCTCTCTTCAACAGCTTGTATCTGAAACAATGGCTGCATACACTCAAGTTGAAGGAAGGTGTGGATAATGATCAAACCCTTATTGTGTTAAGCTTACTGTCCAATTCGTTTGACAATTTTGTTAATGCAATGTGGTATGAGAGAGACACTATCTCCTTAGTTAAGGTGAAATCCTCTTTGAATTCTAAGGAGTTACAAGCTAAATTGAATGGTAAAGGTATTGATACTAAGGCTGAGGGCCTGTTTGTGAAGGGTCGTCATGATAATTCCCCTAATAATAATAGAGGACGATCCATTAAAAGAAATTTAGATAAATATAAAAAAAAATTTGGAAATCGATCACAGTCTAGGAAGAAATACAAGAATGTTGAATGTTACTATTGCACAAAATTGGTCATTATAAGAGAGCTTGCTTTAAGTTGAAAAAGAAAGGGGGCCATCAAAAATCAAATTCTTTTGATCCTTTTAATGTAAAAGTTAATGGTCTTTATGTTCAAATTTAACGATCTGTTACCCAAAGTTAATGATCTTTATGTTCTTCAGTGTGATACTGTGACTTTGGGTAACAGTGCAGAGTCAATTCNATCAAAAATCAAATTCTTTTGATCCTTTTAATGTAAAAGTTAATGGTCTTTATGTTCAAATTTAATGATCTGTTACCCAAAGTTAATGATCTTTATGTTCTTCAGTGTGATTCTGTGACTTTGGGTAACAGTGCAGAGTCAATTCAGTACTACTATCCGCAAGACTAGAGGTACAATTGATTACATTCATCCAGACCTTTGGAGTCCTTCTCAGGTTTTGTCTAAGGTTGGTTTCCGAGTATTTTTTGAATTGACCTTCATTGATGATTATTCAAGATAGGTTTTGGTATATTTTTTAAAACGCAAAGAGCGATGTTTTTGTGAATTTCAAGCAGTAAAAGACTTTAGATGAGCCAGAAAGTCAAGCATCTTAAGACGAAAAAGGGTTTGGAATTTTGTGGAGGTAAGTTTGATGAGTTATGTAAAGATGACAGGATTGTTATACATTGCACTATTAGGTCTACTCCACAGCAAAATGGAGTTTCAGAAATGATGAACAAGACTATTTTAGAGAGAGCACATTGCATGCTTTCCGATGTAGGATTATCAAAGGATTTTTGGACTAAGCTGTCAACACAATTTGCTGTTTAATTAATCGNCATTGATGATTATTCAAGATAGGTTTTGGTATATTTTTTAAAACGCAAAGAGCGATGTTTTTGTGAATTTCAAGCAGTAAAAGACTTTAGATGAGCCAGAAAGTCAAGCATCTTAAGACGAAAAAGGGTTTGGAATTTTGTGGAGGTAAGTTTGATGAGTTATGTAAAGATGACAGGATTGTTATACATTGCACTATTAGGTCTACTCCACAGCAAAATGGAGTTTCAGAAATGATGAACAAGACTATTTTAGAGAGAGCACGTTGCATGCTTTCCGATGTAGGATT